GGTTACAATGCAATCTTAAAGACTGAAATTCAGTTTTTCGAAAGCTACACTGGCGATTTTCAAATAACTTTCAAAAAAGGAACTAATTAAGTATTTTATTATATACCAATAGTCAAAGAAACAACAAATTAAAAAATCAAATGAATATAAATATATGAAATATTTAATTGTTAATAAAACGTTAAATTAATCAGTGCAGTTACCTAAAGCGAAAGTTTTCTAAAAAAATCGCGCGTTTTTAGGCATGTCCAAAGGTGTCATTTTCAGGTGATGGTTCACGTGACTTTTTTTCGTTATTCGCCGGTCGATAACGTAGTATTTGCCTCTCGCGCTGTTGCGAGGGAGACACTCTCACGTGATATGCTATTGATCAATAAAACACTAGAAAATGCGACTTTGACTGTTGGTATAATTATAATAATCTCCGATAATCACCCCACCTTCGGCGAATAATTGTTAAATAACAACACGATGTGTTGAATATTTCCACGAGTGTTGATGTTTAACAATTATTCGCCGAAGGTGAGGTGATTATCGAGGAATATTCACCGAGTCCACGTGAATATTCCCCGATAATCACCTCGCCTTCGGCGAATAATTGTTTTAAAATTAAATTATATTATTTTTGCTGGCGCCTAGTTGCTCATTAATTAAAAATGAGGGCGTGCCGGAAACGCACCTCATGTGTCAAAATTTGAATTGTGAAGCAAACGTTCAACGACCGAATGGATTTACAGTATAAGTAATTCGGAACGGTTTATAGTGAAAATATATAAATAAATTAAAATATTTCTGCTCCCAAGGACAAGGAATTACTCAACGTGTATTCTCAATTAACGTTTATTTTAAATGCAAAGGAACAGTTTTAAAACGTCCCCGATGGAAGGACTGCACCAGGATTGACTCCATTTGCAACCGAATAATTATCTTCTTGTCGGCTGAGATATTGCTGCTGTGATACCTGTGATGACGGTAAAGTAGCCACCATTTCTTCTTCTGGATTGGGGGAAACTTTACTAGGACCAACTGCAAGGGATTGGGACTGATTTTCATCTCCGCTAACGAAAGATGTGAGTGCTGTTGACATCTCTTTAAACTGGTTCAAAGTCGGTCGTTGACAGTAGCTTTCAATGCTCGTATCGGACCTATGTCCAGTTATGGCCTTTATTCTGCGGGTCTCAAAGTTATTTGAGGAAAGAACAGTTATTGTTGTAGCATATCATGCAGGTTTTTGGTTGAATTTGCTTGATAACTCTTCCGGCCTTTGGAAAAGAGCGTTATGATTAGGATTCAAATGGGACAGATAAGCTTTGATTGCTTGAACGGGACGGCTTGAAGATTCTGGCTGAAGAGAAAAGATTTTCCCGTCTAAATGATCTTCGTTGCCTTCGAGACCACCAGTGTGATTTTTACATGTCAGAACTGTACCTGCCCGCTTTTGTTTAGCTCAAAGTATTGTTCACCACTGGGACTGCTTGTATGACGAAGAACATACTTTTTCATTATGGCTTGGTTTTCTCTTCCTTTTTTCCCAAAGTATAAGGATATATGAAAAACTAGGATGACAGCAGAAGAACTCGAGGGTCCTGCACATGTTGTTGCATCGCCGAGCTGCTTTCTGTTGTACAGAGTTTGGATATTATTTCACTCGTCAATGGCTTCTTTTGGACGGTTCCTGCTATTTGGCCACTGCTATTTGGCCACTACTCGGCAAGTATTTAATCTTTTAATCGCTTCGCTAAACAAGTTGGTATCACAGATGCTGAACGTTTGTTTTGTGGAGGTGATTACAGATGCTGGTCGATAGCCGCTCGGATTGATAAGGTTGTTTTCTTGTAAAATTTCCGTCCTTTTTTCTTACAGAAACATAAAATTTCGAAAGGCATCTATTTATCTTCAGAATGTACATATCTTCAAAAACACAGGTGAATTCTATTTGTCGTGCATACCATTCTGTTCAATAATATTGTTCACAAAATTGTAAAAAAACCCACTGTACTCTTCGTGCTAAAGTTTTTATTTTTGGACTTTAAATGACGTTGTAAAATATTATTTTTGTCGCGTCTTCTGTTTTTTCCGGAACAGCATTTTCTTTAAAGTCGCTCCTCTTTGTCAGTGACTTCCACAAACGGCTTGCCGCCATTTTGCAAATTTCGGTTTTGTTATATTCACCTGTAGGTGAATATAACCGAGCTAACACTATACATAAAGATATTACTCGATTGTGATTGGTTGATTTCAGTGCAGTTAATCCCAAACAGCAGTGCAATTTTCTGTAATCACAGTGCAATTTTCTGTAATCACGGTGCAATTATTTTGTAATCACAGTGCAATTTTCTGTTATCACAGTGCAAAAATCTGTAACAAATTGATCTGATTGGTGGAAAAACATTGTGATGATTAAATCAACCAATCAGTTTAAAGCAATTTAGTTTAAAGAAGTAACGGTCACAAATTGCTTCAAAACAAAACAAACATGGAAATTATGGCCTTTATCTTTATTTCTAAATGGAAAAGCGTTTACCTTAAACCAGCCTAACAAATATTACATAGATAAGTGGAATTTTCAAGCTGTTAGCGTTGTACAATGTGATATAACAGAGCCAGGGAAACTTTGTCAGTGGAATGTTCGCTATATAAACGCGTAAGTTAGAACTATACAATTATCTCGAACATTTGTATGTAATTTAATAAGTAATAGCATGGTTTCTCGTGAAATTTGGATAAACATGCACTCGTGAGTTTTTCAAAGACCTCAAATAGCACTCGTCCTTCGGATTCGTGCTATTTTGAGGTCTTTGAAAAACTCACTCGCGTGGATGCTCCAAATTCGACTCGAAACCATGCTATTACCCATACTTAATAAGTCAAATTTAACCAATGAACTTGCAGGATTTGTTATATTCATTTGTGTAAAAATACTAAAACTATACATCAATACCGAAAAAACTGTTATATTTGTTTTATATACAATATGGCACAAACGGGGAAGGAGATTGCGTAGACATTAAGTTATATCAACACGGATCTTAGCCAATCAGCCCACGGGCTTTAGGACAAATTCAATTTGACAACAATAGTATTCTATATAAGTAGCAGTTAAAATAAAATGTACGGCACCTGAACTGTTCAATATCTTGCTTTTAAATCCATAAAACGTTTACATATACGCAAATCAGTGTATATTTTCAAAATCCGTCATATTTATTTACATTAGAACCCAAGCTTTCGCGGTTAACACGAAATATTAACGTTGGTGATTTTCACTAATAATAAGAGGGTAGAATCATCCAATTATTTAATCGTTCGAAGCACAAGGAAACCATGCTTCCATATATAGCGCAAATTTGTCCCCAACTTCCTTATATGGCACAAGCGTGTCCCCAAAATATTTCATCGAAGCCGTGATGATGTCATAAGATTCCTCCCGCTCGGAACGATTCGAACAGGTCACGTGGTACAGAACCCAAACAGCTGATTTGGTTAGCTAGTGACAACGCCCACTTTAATCCTACCCTATTATTATTAGTCAAAATCACCGACGTTAATATTTCGTGTGAACCGCGTAAGCTTGGATTCTAATGTAAATAAATATGGCGGATTTTGAAAATATAGCCTACAGTATTTCCATAAATGTAAATCTTTTATGGATATAGAAGCAAGATATTGAACAGTTCAGGTGCCGTACGCTTTATTTCAACTGCTATTTAGATAGAATACTGTTGTTGTGGCCCGTGATCAGCATTCAGAATTTACAAATGCTATATATTATATTATAATTTGTTTTAGGCTAATAGTTATCTGACTAGATTGGCTCATTTATGGTTATTAGCTATACTTATTAGATTGGCCAATTAATAGCTACATTCATTCTTTTATGGTAGCTAAGTATTATTTAAACTAGAAAATACATGCATGTAGAAACCCTCGCCTTGCTGACAAAACCATTGTATTTTCCGAACATGAATTATCTAAGTTGTTATGGTAACACAATAATTTTTTAAGAATATTCTTACAAATGAAAAATCGCCTATAAATATCACTTTTTAATATAATAACAAAACTATAATATAAAACTAAACTGCCTTTTAAAATGGCTTTATCGATAAACTTTGAGTTTGCAATAAAATGATTTAAAATTCTCGCTTGCAAATAACTTTGCTTTCTTATTTATTTAAAAAATTCAATGTCATAAAAAAGGGAATGAATATTAAAGATACACTGAAATTATATGCTGTCTTGTTTAGTTGTTTCATCTACGCAAAGGCCGTCGGGTTTTAAAACCATTATAAAATCAATATTTAAAACAAACTTACCTTCGTTAACGTCGGCTCGCTTCTTTTAGCCGATTCTTTCGCAGTTCCTTTCTCAGAGAGCTTTTGAAATTTACAAAATCTTGCAAAAATGCAAGCAAAAATGAAATATATTTGCAAGAAATTTATCAATCATCAAATCAACTCAAGAAATGTTTGCTATTTCGCTGTCGTCATGCAGTCGTTATAATGCAAACTTTAAATTGGACCAATCAGTGTCCGCTATTGTGACAGTCCGCCATATTTTTGAGATCATTGAGGATGACCACCCACCCAACACCGTTGGTGACCCACGCCCGCGATATTTGATGAACTTTAGACTCCGCTAATGCTTTCGTTTCCCCGGATGTAAATAGCCGGGGGGAATTAGTACCCTCGCACGGCGCTTTGCGCCGTCGGCTCGGGGACAAAATGTTTCAGTGAAGTAAAGATGTATATGTGTTAATTAAAAAGCGATATATTTGGTATCGGCCAAAGGTGAAACGTAACATACCCCTATATACTGTTACCTACAAAACGACATATCGCGTGTTCGAATTTTTGCATCTACTAATGCCCCCATCGGAGATTATCACACTTTCTGCATGAGTAGCTATATATTGGTTACAATGACTATATACGATACATTGTTGCCATACGCGTATACTGGCCTGTAGTACAATAATGAAAAAAACAACAATCACATACCCTCGAATTTAGAAATGCTTCAGATTTATTCTGTGCCCCCTCTATATTTGCTATCTGCTTATCAATTGCATTTCCTACAACTTCGATGCCTTTTTCGACAACGGCCTCTTGAATTTTGTCGCTGCCAACAGCGGCCCCGACGGCCAAAGGGTTGCGCTTGAATCCTGTTGTTGTATGACCTATTTATAAAAAATCAATATACAAACGAAAGATATTCTATCGGATTTATTTAGGCGAGGGTAGGACGGCATGGGTGGTCCTCAGTGGTCGTATAGTACACGTGCATAATTATGACTTTTACTTTAACGATGCAAATATTTAGAATCTGCGTAGACAGTTGGTTTCCTCCTGGATGGCTGGATCCCTCATTACTCTGCACACTATAGTCGTAGTATAGTCTTGTTGACTTTTTTTTTACCAATCACAGTTTTTTTCCTAGCTTGTTTCTAGTTTTCTCAAGTAGTCATTGATCTTGCACTGGGTTAAGGAATAAGGAATACGTAGAGAAAAAGTGTTAGCGCTCATAAATCTTATCTAATTAGTCGGACTTGCAGCTATACGTTTTCAGTTTTGGTAGATCACACCGACAAAACAATCGGAATAATTCATGTGAACCAGTAAAATTGGATCAATATTCATGATACACCACAACTTTATTGCAAATCAATAAATGATTTACCATTAATACATGAATTGTGAAGCTGATTCTGCAGGGAAACGGATAAGAGATCATTTTCATCGATTTAAAGGGTATGAGCAACAAAAATTTCTATCTATTCTATCTCACCTGGTTCCGAAGTTATACGCAAAAAATGTGCAAAATATAAATTGCTGATTCAGCACAACGTGTGACGTCATTAGTTGGGTAAGTATGTTTATTGAATAGTAAACTGAAGCATAGCTCAGTTATTATTGGCTCAAATCAAATGAAATTTTGCATACAGATAGTACATGATGAGACACATGAGAAAATATTTCTAATTTTGTTATTAAGGCAACACAGTCGTTCCCAGGCCACTTACACTGATTTGGAATAACTAGTTGCATTTATCTATGCGTATGTTATTTTCGAATTATTATCATGCAAGTAAAGGTTTGGCATGCATAGGTATGGTACACATACTTCTGATATTATCTTATTCCTTAAAAGTACCATGAATAAAGCTGTTTTATAAATTGGCGCAAGGGGCCTGGGAACGACATTGTTACATTGGCAACAAAATCAGAAGTGATTTTCAATGCATCTCGTCATGTACAATCAGTATGCAGAATTTCAATTGATTTGGGCCCATAATAACTGAGCTATGCTTCAGTTTAGTATTCATTAAACATACTTACCCAACTAATGACGTCACAAGTTGTGCTGAATCAGCAACTTATATTTTGCACATTTTTGCGTATAACTTCGGAATTAGAGGAGATAGAATAGAGCATTAACCGGCCAATCGGCTTATTTTTTCATGCTCTTTCAGATGAAGCAATAAAATTTTTGTTGCTCATACCCTTTAATCGATATAATATTTATTATCCAAACTTGGCAACAAAGGTCTTATTTGGCCATAGATTAAAATGGACTTAATCCCATATTAAGCTGCGAAATTGTTAAATGTAATCTCCTTGGCATGCAGGATATTAACATTACTGCCTAATCTTGTTGTGATTTTTAGAGTAAACAGATTAACACGATATAGGTATTACATTGCTTCATATATACCTCGTGATAAACTATAAGTTACTTGTGGAACTTCTTCTTTTTTCATGTGTCGCCGTTGGTGGATATTCTTAATTTCTTTTTCAGCATCATAATCTATGGATTTCTTATCGTGCATTTTCATCGACCTTTTTTGTTTACCTTTAACATGTCGAGCAATATTTTTAATAAAATTGTCTGGCAATTTTAGATGGCGTTTTTGACCAATCTTTATATTCTGTTGTGGTTGCGCTAAATAAGATAATAATTATAGTTTTATAATATCTATCCTGTATACGCTTTCAGTTAAAACAGTTCAGATGTAATTAATAATCTTGATTCTCTCTCTACATGCTGTCAACGACCATCCCTTAGTGATCATCGTGAATGAAGGGGATACTGGATTAGCACTAACCCAGTGTTAATATATATATATATATATATATATATATATATATATATATATATATATATATATATATATATATATATATATATATATATATATATATATTTAAAAAACTCATTAATAATTCAGGAGGAAAACACAAAGAAAAATCATAAGCGTGTCGTGGTGTTATATGTGATAAAAAATCATGTTAATTTACATAAACTTTAGCTTTGATTTTCTCGGTTTAGACAAAGTCTATTTTAAAAATTACTTCGCCAATGAACTCGTATAAGATGAGTCGTTTTTTAAGCTATTTAAGGTGGCTCCCTACAGTTAGTACAGTTTAAATACTATTTATATAGATCAGACTTCATCCTCGCGACCTGCGCGTGGAATCGTCGTGTTTAATGTTCGGCAAAAATATTGAAACAAGCCGCGGGAAGTTTTTTGGCGTTTTTATCTACAAAGAAAGCCCCAGTTTTTCATCATAATCCTAATTTTTTCTGAATTCGAACAGTACGTATGTTATTAACTAGTTTAGCCAATCTTTTAGTGTGTTTTTACGTATTTACGTTCAGTATTGTCTTTCATATTGCTCAAAATTTTCAACTTGTTGTGTTGCGAACTGTCCGAAACTGAAATGATACTGGCTTCTATAACTCTTGAACAGTAGTGAACTGTCGCCGAAACTTATGTAAGTTCTGTCAATCAATTCAATTCAATTCAATTCACAGGTATCGTTTAATCTGCTAAATCAAATAAAACAGTTATGAGTTGTTTTATATGAAAAGTTAAACTTGTAGTTCGATGTTTTGAAAAGTTTTCACACCGATTTTAACAACAAAAACAAATGTAAACTAACACTGGATTTAATACAATATGTATAATAGTGTTTTTTTTATTAGTATTTTCAAAATTATAATTTATTTTCATGTCAAACAAGTCAGAAATATCTGTTTTCGTATGTATTGTAAGCCAAAAAGTTGAAATCACTATAAATCACACGCTACAATTTACACGCATGCGCAGATCGTGCTCATGTTGAGTCGATTTTTTTTCATGCTGGCCACGCCGATTTTAGCGATGATTTTCTCGTGTTTTCTTCGGTGAAATTTTTTTAAACTTTGCACTTTGGTTATACAAGACGAGTGGTACAACATATCCAAATTTTAAGAAATTCTACAAATAACTTTTTCTGTAACCGTCATTCACGAATATCTCGAAAACTTATTTGTAAATTCCCTTCAAATTTTGATATGTTTTTCTTTTATGGGGCATAAATCTTAAAAAAAAATTTCAGAAAACTTCACCGAAGGAAAATATAGATGTTGTCAATTTATTGTGAAATTAGACAATAAAAGTGCAAAAGATTAAACGTCATGGTTGCCATGGCAACACAAAGACTGTTTTAATTTGTTCATAAATGGACAGCACACAGCTTCTGAACTTTCCTGGAAATGATCACATTGCCTTGTCTTAAGTGTATCTAATATAAATTCGTTTCAAAGTGAACGTTACTCAAAATACCTAGAATTTTAGAGAACTGTAGGGAGCCACCTTAATGGGTAAATAATATGCATTGTTAATTCTGTATAACAAGTATTAAATAACTGCAGAAGATCGTAGATGTAAGTTTGATGGTGATTCAGGAGGTGTGACCCAGTGATCAATCCCATTATCTTTCATCCATTTCTTTGTTGAGTTGCTTGTGTGTTTTGGTCATTATCTTGCCTCATGCGGTGACCATCAGGATATACCCTTCTGACGAATGGCAACAAATTTCATTCTAAAATTGTTTGGTAGCTGATACTCTCCATGCATCCACTAAAAATATACACTTGTGTTGCTCCTCGCCAGGAAATTCCAGCCCAAACATGAACCTAAAAATTAAGTAAACAATGCAATTAAAACTAATAGTATATATATATATATATATATATATATATATATATATATATATATATATATATATATATATATATATATATATATATATATATATATATATATATATATATATATATATATATATATATATATATAGTTTGCCTTTTAAAGGCAAATAAAGTTCTTAATTGAAGATCAGAAATATTTGTGAAGTGCGGCCACGCAAAGAAATTCCACGCGAGAAAATTTGAGAGCGTGCGCGACAAACGAACGCGCGCGATAAACGAACACACGCGTCAGCAAACCGTTAGTTAGTAGCGTCAACAAACACATGACGACCCGCACGTTTTGAAAAACAGCGGGATCTGCAAACTGAGTTTGCAACTTCAGGAAGCGAGCAACGCTAATCGCATTATTAATTACCGCTATAAGATGTCATCAATCCAGGTTCAGTTGCTTAGACGCAGTGTGAAACCAAGCAAGTAATAAGTTAATTTTCTGTTATGCATTAAAATAAAAGTGTACAAATATGTCACAATGCTGACTGTTGACAAGTCACCTAGGGCCAGGCTATACTATATAGCGTACAATGTGTACTAAGGCTGCCTATAATATGTAATATTAAGACTTGTGTGTTGTAAAACAAAACGTTCTTGGTATCTTAGAGAATAGCACGATAATTCCATGTCAAGACCGCGGAACATATTTGCCGTTTTAGATCTTGGCAGTATAAAAAATCCGGCTTCAAAGGCGTAAGTTTTCTATGGCTAAATAATAAAGAAACTGACTTATAAAGTTATATATATAATTATACCGCCTTTCCCTATAGGCCCTAGTGCGCACATGAATCTGGTACAAACGTTTTCACTAACGTATATATCAAATGTATATATTATTCCAAAAACAATAGCTGCATTGACACCATTGTCTTAGCTAATCTACGGAATCTACGCCCGCGCCTGCGTTGTGAGGTAAAGAATAATATAAGACTCCTTTTAAGCTTCCACTGGTTAAGAAAAGATGGGACATCTTCGTAACCTGTCAGCAAAAGATGGGTCATCTTTCTGACACAAGAGTTTTCACTAAAAGTATTCTAGATATTATTCCAAAACCTATAGCGCAAGCTGCATCGCCTTACTCTAACTTCGCCTGATGTAAAGAATAATATAAGACTCCTTTTAAGCTTCCACTGGTTAAGAAAAGATGGGACATCTTCATAACCTGTCAGCAAAAGATGGGACATCTTTCTGACACAAGAGTTTTCACTAAAAGTATTCTAGATATTATTCCAAAACCTATAGCGCACGCTGCATCGCCTTACTCTAACTTAGCCTGATGTAAAGAATAATATAAGACTCCTTTTAAGCTTCCACTGGTTAAGAAAAGATGGGACATCTTCATAACCTGTCAGCAAAAGATGGGACATCTTTCTGACACAAGAGTTTTCACTAAAAGTATTCTAGATATTATTCCAAAACCTATAGCGCAAGCTGCATCGCCTTACTTTAACTTAGCCTAATGTAAAGAATAATATAAGACTCCTTTTAAGCTTCCACTGGTTAAGAAAAGATGGGACATCTTCATAACCTGTCAGCAAAAGATGGGACATCTTTCTGACACAAGAGTTTTCACTAAAAGTATTCTAGATATTATTCCAAAACCTAGCGCTGTCGATGTGGCATACTCCAAATTTGATATTTCAACTATACTCTATAGGTATAGCCACAAAAAATTGGATATTGTCAAATCTGAAAGCCAGGGGTACGGCTCATCTCCGCGTTTACTCATCACTAGCTCGCCCGGGAAATAATCTGGCGATGCCCAGCGTAATGTCTAATGAGAATGATATCAAATTTAGTTCAATGGGCCATTTTAGACTAATTTTCGATTCTTTTGAAAATGCTTACGCAAGTTTAATTTAAACGCTGATATCTCAGTCAATATTTCGTGATATCTCATGTATAACCTATCAAAATTTAAGTTAGCCTTTTATGAATACAGCTACATTTATTTGAGCGATGTATAGCTCTTATAGTTTTTTCGCTATGGTAGATCAAACGCCTGAACTTTTTTTGCGCAACCCAGTATATATATGTAAATAAATATTATTTGTCTTGTGCTACCTTGTATCAAAATATAGAAATGAGGATAATTATTAAATAACGAATATAGTACAATCAACTCGCGGTTGTGATAGCCTGCTTGAAAGACGTGGTATCTAGCATTTACTGTATACTAAAGAAATAATAACTGATTGCGTGCTGCAATACCTATAGGCTATAGCCTTTTGACTATTACCTAACCTTACTGATTGAAAATACTTCGCATTAATCTTTAATCTTTATTCTTTAATAAGCAGCCATCAAAATATTGCCAGTTTGTTCGATCTTGATCTCCATCCTGAATCCATACACACGATTGTCAAGCAGAATGCACTCTTCTTCAGACCATTTTGGCGCAATTTGAACTTTGCGCGGCATTGTCTGCTAACATTATTATGAATTGGTGATGACAACCTGGTTTGTATGTTAGCTCAGTTAGTTATTTGCTACATCATATCTATGGGGTTAAATTTCATGCACGCATAAATTATTTCACTATAAATTCATTATACATGTCACCACTCTTACCACCTCGACTAATAATGCTGTGGTAACTAACACCTTCAAGATAATTCAATTTATAGGCGTGCGGGTCGTCATG